TGAACATCATGGCTTCCTGTGTACAAACCGATACGCGGTGAACACACGCACCTCGCAATCGCTATACCATGAAAAAGATGATTACTCGCACCCATACAATGAACTGTATATTTTATCTATCAAGTCCCAACATCACCGAGACAACATGTTAGTCAGACCATAGTATTATCACTGACAGGAACAGTACAAGTAAAGTAAGGCACATACACGAACGCACGCATAAAGGCGGTGTCTCAGTGGCCAATGACAGTGAAACCAAACAACAGGTAGTGACTCATACAACCACACATTGACTATCAGGATCGAATGACAAGAAATGTATGCAGATGTAAATATATATATACATATATATCTGTATGTGTATACAAGTGTGCAGTCGGACAGAAACATTAGCCCTATTACATCAGCAACTATGTAGTTCCGTTAGTCCCCAAGCGGCCAGACGAAAAACACCAAAGCTACGTGACCGGAGGCGTGGGGAAAGTCGTTGTGGGATCGATTTGAACAATGTCAAGCGATCAGTTGTAAATGTTGGTAAGTGAAATGATCCGGTCATGCACATGTCCCATAGCCTGTTTAGGCTACCATTGATCCGGTCAGTTAGAGGAACGTCAGTATGCGACTGGGATGTGAATAACAGAAGAGGAGATTACGTAATGAAAAGCCCTTACTATTCCAAACTAAATCCGAGGGCAAAACCAAGAAAAGAACAAAGAAAAAGATTATCTGCGAAAAATCGCGTGTTTATACACCACAAATGAAACGAAGCACAGAATGAGAAAATAAGAAGTGATGTGTAACACAAATTGACAGTTTCAAAATCCATCAGAGCAGACAATGCACCTCGTGTTATTCCACAACAATTTTGCAGCCGATAGTTCACACTAGACAGAGGTGTGGTAATAGGTAAACACCGCGAACAGGAGCATATTATATCCGTATAAATCAACCCGTGTGAATCACATGACTATCGTACCCATTTATTCAATCTCGGATACTGAGTAAAGATTGCAGTTTCATTCGATAGAAATTGAAGAGAAAAGGAAATTCATCGATAAATTCCGCT